CTAAGAAATGGAGATTAAGAAACATGTGGATTTCAGGACTTATCATATCACACTATGTTATTTTTCGGTGTCATATTGAATTAAAAATTAATATCATGTATTTTTTATCAATTTAGTTCTTATTGTATCAATTTTATTAAATTTAATTGCTAAAGTAATTAATTTCTGTCACTTTGATTTCTACATAGATGAAATGTTAAGTTTTTTTGACAGAAGTGACCACATGTCATTTTTTTAAATTAATCACGTGCTCGACAAGGGTGTGTATGTGTGTATTTATATAATAAAATACAATACAATTTAAATTTTAAAAAATAAATAAAATAACTTTTTTTCTTTTCCCGGTTGAGATCTCTTTAAATTTATTTTAAAGTTTAATCCGAAGGCTAATATTAACACCCCAAATTTAATAGGAAAAATAGACCACTAAGGGTATGTTTGGGCTACCAATGGGTCTTTCGTTTAATGGTACTCCTTACATTATGAATGTTTTGCCTTCTTGGGGTCAATGGTTCAAATATTTTTCCCTCCTTTCCTCCCCCTCTCCCACCCCCAAAAAAATTAAAAAAAAAAGAGTATGCTTGGAATAACTTTTTAAAAATACTTCTACAACTTCTCATTTTTCATAAGTACTTTAAAAAAAAAAATAGTGTTTAATTTAAACTCGTCTGTATTTTAATTATTGAACTCAAGTTGCACTTTATTAGGTATAAAAGTTAGGGAAAATCATTATTAGAGAGGGTTGAAATAAAATATGTACAATTGTACAAACTTCTTAACTAATTCAATTGATTGTGGTAGTTTTTTTCTATAGTTTTAAATATTCTACATTATTTATTCAAATGTATTACTGTCACCAATTTATACCTTGTCACCATACTTTAACGTTATATGTTTTTTGTAATATTTTTTGTTTTCTCAGTACGTAACACTTATTTATTATTACTAGCAATGCACGTGAATCTATTTAAATAATATTTTTTATAAAAAAATTAAATTATATGTATAATTAAATTGAATAATAAATTATGTAATTTTGATTATTGCCAAATCTAAAAACGGTCATTATTGAGTATTTGCACATCTAATTAAATTATAAATTTATTACATTTTTGTCATAAAAATTAATTAAATTACAATATTATTGTTTGTATTGTGATAATATGATATTGTTGTATACCAAAAAATCAATTATAATGTATATTGGATAGTAAAATAAAAGAATATAGATTGAACTTTATTTCTTAATATAAATATAGACATAGAAATAGAAAATCGTATACAAGTGTACTACTAATAAATAAGTTTAAAAGAATTTAAAAATCAAATACGGTTAATAAAAGATTCTAAAAAAACTTAGAAGACAAATATATAAAGAAAATAAAAATTGAATGAAAGTAATATAGAATTTAAAATTCAAATATTTTTAATAAAAGAGTTTAAAAGAACTTAAAAATTAAATAAATATAATAAATAAAAATTAAAGAAAACTAATATATGGGTATTATTGACTTTATAATAAAAGCTATGGATAAAATAGAAAATGAAATTTTTTGAACAAATGTTGATATTTATTAGTAGTATATATATATATATATAAATGTATATGAATTAGGAATAGAGTAATTCTAATATAGCTGTATTATGATTAAAGAAAAAAATACCAAAAAAGAAAAAGAAAAACTCATATAGATGGATACCCTTGTCTTTTGCATATATGCTCAACAAAGTATTACTTATATGACGATTCTCGTGAAGACAAATTTCAATGAAGAGATGGAGAAAATTCAACTTTAATAATCAAAGTTCCATAAATTTAAACTAAAAATGCATAAAACTATATACCTAATTAGAACTAACATAACAATCGTATCGTCGAGGTTCAACAAAAAAAAAATAGAACATAACAATAGTCCCAATAAATATTTACTCAAAAATCAATTTACTCTATATTGCATCACAAATAAATTTAGTATTCTGGGCAACTGCAGGTTAGGTTTGGTAACCCAAGATTAAAATTTTAGCCCAAACATAAGATTTGAGGGTCCTTTGAACTATTGTTCCCAAATCCTGGATATCAATCCCTCTCAAACCCACATAACAAATAGGACCTAAGAGTGTAAAATAAGAATTTTTAAAAAATTTAGGATATAAAGTGTAAAAAGCCCAAATAATTATATATCTACAATGTGGAAAGAGGTTTTCCATCAAGAAGATGCTATGAAATTTCCATCTAAACCCAGAATTTCCATCCCACTGTCTACGGCTACGCGTGAAATTAAAAGACAACATTTTTAGTACTTATTATTGGTCCCTACATTTTTAGTCCTTGTCGTAACCAAGTTGCTAAGAAAAATTCATGTAAACACGAAGTCTCAAAGAAATGGAGATTAAGAAACATGTAGCTTTCACGACTTATCACATCACACCGTGTTATTTTTCGGTGTTATATTGAATTAAGAATTAATACTATGTATTTTTTTTTATTAATTTAGTCTTTATTATATCAATTTGATCAATTTGATCGCTAAAGTAATTAATTTTTGTCACTTTGATCTCTACATAGATGAAATGTCAAGTTTTTTTGACAGAAGTGACTATATGCCATTTTTTTAAGATGATATCACATGGTCGACAGGGGTGGGTGTGTATGTGTTTATCTATTTCTACTACTAATAAAAGTATGTTAGATTAAAAACTTTTAAATCTCTATTTTACCCTTATAAAAGATTGTAAAAATCACTTTATCCTTTCACAATTAAATATCTAAATTACTATCATATCCTTATATATTTAAATCTCCAAAATAACTATAACATCTCTTTTAATTATTTATTTTCTATGTATAAATATTTATTTTTTGATTAACTATATTACACTTAAAAAACCATCATTATATTTTCAATAAATTGTTCTAAAAAACTTCAAAGACTCCATCTTTCTAATATTACTCATCATCTTTTATCCTATATATATATATATATATATATATATATTATTTTTCATCGAAAAGTTGAACCCTTTCATTTTTAAGATAAAAAATAATCATATGTATAATTTTTTAAAATCAATTTATGTTATATCAATATAATTCTTCAATTACAATAAATTTTAGGATAAATTACATTGACAGTCATGTAGAGTACTCTAATTACATGGACACTCCCTCAATTTTTTGAAATTACACTGATACCCCATGTTAGGTCTTGTCCCTTAACAAATATAACAAAAAATGTAATTTTTCATAATTACCCTTACCATACATCATTTTTTTACTTATCATTCTCTCATATATTTAAATACTAATAAATATGTCATTTTCAGGTTAAATCCGTAAAACATGAAATTGACACGATCAACCCGTTTTATTTAATCATGTCGAATTCCTCTATTTTCTCGTTTATATGTTAACACGAAAAACATGGAATTACAATGATCCATATGTTTAACTGATATTATAAAAATAAAATATTAATTATTTGATGTTGATTATTAAGCACTAACATAATTATTGTATAAAAAAGATATTTTTACTCATTATTACTATGTTTATTAAGTTAATTTTTAGTTTATAGAAATAGTATGAGCATGGTTTCAATTAAGTAATAATAGAACCTTAGATTTAAATCTTAATGTTAAATTTTTTTATTTAAAATTTATATGAGTCAACACGAATATGAACACACCTGTACGAGTAGCCCAACGGTGTGGAGTTGAACTCAGACTTAATTGATACCTGTGGTTTACAGGTAATAGCAGGTATTTGAGATTTACTCTCGCAAGAATGGGTCCAAAGTGGTCTTACTTTGGAGAGGTTCCACGATATAAAAAAGAAATATGAATGCGAACACGAACACGATACGAAAATAAATAGGCTAGCCTGATTTTATCCAGGGGTAATATAAGTATTAAAATATAAATAGTTGATGATGTAATCACTTTTTTGACATTGCCAATAACAATGATAACCATAGAGAAACTTTGTGAAATGGGTAGGTAAATAATAAGGGATGTTGGTGTAATTTCAAAAAATTGGGGGGTATCTTTGTAATTAGACCAATGTACGGGGATGTCAACATAATTTACTCTAAACTTTATAAGTTGTACTAAGATTTTTTTTTTTATAAAAATAAATATCGTAGCGTATTTCTAAGTAAACCTTGAATTCTTTAGAATTTTAAGATATTTTATAATATAAATTATAGAGTAGTATATTAAATATTATTCCAATTAACCTAACTTATTTTTAATTGCAGTAAGGTTCAAATGTGATTAGTATATTAACAATTACTTTTATTTTATTCAATGGATTATAATTGAAATCCTAATTAAATGAATTTCAAAAAATTTAATTTCTCAAACATCACTAAAAAAATCAATCTTAATCACAAAATTCTAAAAATATAAGACTTTAACTATTTTTTATTTATTTTTTTTATAGTTAGATCAAAGAATTTTGGGAATATATAAATTTTTATAATCTTATAATAGAATATAAGTAATAAAAAATTAAAATTTATAAATTTGAAATGATATTTAATTCAGATACATATATACTTAATATATTTTAATAATTTTTGTGTACGAAAATTATTCACGTGCAACGCACGTAGTACATTTATAGTATCAACAAATAAAAACTAAAAAAATATATAATCCCATTTAAACAAGTTTGTTTGTTAAGAAATAGTCACTCCTAAACACTAATTTCACATGGCTTTCATATTATGTTACCTGTCGTATTAGAAAATCTTCACCCCCTAAAGATCTAGATTACCACCATGTCTTGAACATAAAAGATAACATTGACTCTTCGTCAAGCCAGTCACATGGAATAATGAGCAATATTGTTTCATTTATAGTTCAACACAATTGACTCTTACTTTTCGTGGAGTACTTGACTGGGCAATGGCGTAGGTGGTGAGAACTCCTCAAGTAGTCTCAGGCCAGCATCTATATATAATCGGGAAGTGGCAGATTGTTTTGCATCCAAATTAAGTGTAAGAAACACAATTCTCTTCTGTGAGGGTTGCTTATTTTCTCTTCTCCATGGCTCGATTTTATGTGAAGAGTAAGAAACATACTATGGCAGCTATGTTCATACTTCTTGGGTTGTTAATGCCTACCCTCGAAATAATAGGTATCTTTCTTCCCCCCCACCCCCACCCCAACAAAAAAAAAAAAAAAAAAATTCTATATGCATGTATCTGCTATCAGGGTTGTCAATATATAGGTCACATTCTATTTTTTTTATATATATATACAGTTGGATTCATGTTGCATTGAATTCGTGTTGTGCATATATATTTAGCCTGGTTTGTGTTGCATCTAACCGAATCCATATAAACCTATTTACTTAATTAATGAATTTAGCATGTTCACCTATTTACAAAACAAATCCTTGAAGATTAATCAAAACCCGCTAAATCCATATCAGTTTTGTATTGTGTTTGTAGATCGTGTGTAAAGTTTTCAGCCTGAGTATTTGCTACTCTGGAAAAAAACTAAGCCTTCTTCATATATGTATACCTATGTGTCTTAGCGCCAACTTTCCTATGTTAATGAATTTATTCCTTGGGTTTAACTTCAACAATGAGTCATTTGAAAGTCTTTGTCCCTTCTGTATTCGAAGTTCTAACACCTATGGAATGTTTCAATCTTATACAGGTGCACAATCCATAGGTGTGTGCTATGGAAGAAATGGTGATAAACTACCAACGGAAACAGAAGTTATAAACCTTTACAATACAAATGGAATAGGAAGAATGAGAGTTTACGATCCAATTCCAGAAACTCTAAATGCTCTTAGAGGAACCAACATAGAAATCATCCTCGATGTCCCCAACCCAAACCTCGAATCCCTTGCATCGGACGCTGCAACAGCAACTGACTGGATCCAGAGGAACATAATCGCCTACTCACCCGATGTTAGATTCAGATACATTGCTGTTGGAAACGAAGTCGATCCCAACACTGATAAATCTCAATATGTCCGATTTGTTCTTCCTGCTATGCAAAACATTTACAATGCAATTGTAGCAAGTGGCCTACAAGACCAAATCAGAGTCTCCACCGCGACATACACTGGTTTGCTAGGCAATTCCTCTCCCCCATCAGAAGGTTCATTCCTTGAGAATGTGAGGCAATTTGTCGACCCTATCATTGGCTTTCTAGCCCAAAATAACTTGCCACTGCTTGTCAATGTGTATCCATACTTTAGCTATATCGGTGACACTGTAAACATTCCACTTCCTTATGCCTTATTTACTGCAACAGATGTCGTACGCGATCATGATCTCGAATTTCGAAACCTTTTTGATGCAATTTTAGATGCTCACTACTCAGCTCTTGAGAGGGCGGGTGGACCCAATTTACAAATTGTTGTATCAGAGAGTGGCTGGCCGTCTGAGGGTGGGACTGCAGCTAACTTGGACAACGCAGGCACTTACTATAGGAATTTGATTGATCGTGTAAGGGGAGGGACAGGAACTCCAAAGAGGCCTGGAAATGCTATAGAAACTTATTTGTTTGCTATGTTTGATGAAAATCTGAAGGAAGGGGACGAAACAGAGAGACATTTTGGCCTCTTCTACCCTAATCAGCAGCCCAAGTATCAGATTAGTTTCAACTAAGTAAATGAAACAAGAGAACCTATAGTATGGTTTAATCCTTTACTTCTATCAATTATGAATAAAAGTTTTATGCTTGTAATGCTATTGGGAGAGGGAGAGAGAGAGAGACAGACTCCATGTGAAATTTACAAATAATACGTAATTTACGAATAATTTGTGGCAGTCCTACTATTTGGTGTTACTGTAAATTGAGAGTGATTGTGAAGTTGTGATTTGTGATAACGTAATGGTTCTTTGTTTTGCTATGTGGTCATGGTTTTCGAAGTGTTCTTATAATCAAATACACAAAAACAAGTTTGACAACTAATTTTAAAAAGTAATCTACATGAATCTTAACACTCCAGTGTGGACCGAAATGGTCTTACGAAGCCGATTCCTGGATTGTGCAAGTCCTTTTCTAACTTGAAGAGGAGCAAACAAGACTTCCCAGAGTAGGGGAGAATAACAATGTTCAAGCTTGAAGTAAGTAACAAATTCCTGGCTAGGCTAGTCATCCAGTAATGTTGGAGCACATAAGGGTCCATTTTTCACATCATCCACGACATAAATAAGTTCCTGGCTAGTCATCCAGATTGGAGTATAAATCATGTCCCAAGGGAATCCAACTCGACAGCTCATCCATTGGCAAGATGGGGGTTGGCTATGCATTTCACAGGATCCTTAGCAGTGAATGAGCTTGATGCATCCTTGTGAATAGGAGTAGCATTAGATAGATTTTACTAGCACTTTGTTTACCTTAGTGTCTAGTTTACTTCATGTCTTCTTTTTCCTGTACTTCTTTATTTCCAAGCAAAAAAAAAAAGTAACAAATTCTGAATAAGAAAAAATAAGATGATAAAATGCAAAACAAACCGTGAAAGTCTTACGTTCAAATAATTACGAGCTCTAACTCTCATTAGAGCTTTCGGAACAATAATTGAGCTCATGACAGAAACCGTCTTTATATAACATGTCCCTTTCTTTCACGCACATACATGTGACCACAACCCACACCCACCTTCATGTGGCCTCCACAGCTTCACCAATCTCTCTCCCACTCTCTCTCTCTCTGACCCAAAACCCTTACGAGTCGGTTCACATCATAAACTTGCTCTAGACACCACCATCGCTGATATCAATTGGGGTCGGGTGGGGACGCACCTAGAAACCTTAGTGCACATTGAGACTAGGCTGGGACCACAGATGTAACCATCGTCCCAGTAAAATTATAGATCTAAAATATTTGGGGAGTGAAATCATAATTATCAAGAATTCTAGAATTTTATTGGGGATTGAAATATAATAACTAGAAAGCAGTAAAACATAACTAATTTAACTAAGAAAAAAACCTGATAGACGAAGATATGAGTATGCATTTGGTTGAAAAATAATGAAATCTTATAGTTTTTTAGATTTTTAATTCACGAATTACACAAGTTAACCCAAACACAACACGAATAATAAATAAACCGGGTTAGCATGAAAATATCTGATACAATTAATTAAATGAATTGTGTTAGAGTTGACTATTACTTAACATAATCGGAACTAACACGACACAATTACTACCACTACTACTAGATACCACCATCACCGGTATGAATTGGGCTTGGGGGACTTGAAGCCTTTGTACTTATTGAGACTAGGCTGGGGCCGTAGGTGTAATAACTGCGCTAGTAAAATTAAAGATCTATATAATTTAGGGGTAAAATTATAATTATAAGAATGTTGGACATTTATTTAGGATTGAAATACAATAACTTGAAAGGAGTAAAATAAAAAAAATAATAATCTGATAGAGGAAGATATCTTTTTAAGAAAATACTATTTTGACGTAATTTGATGACCTAATGATGTACAATCATTGAATTGATTGTGGGCTTCATCTAACATTAAAACTCACAACTAATTTAATGGTTACATTAAAGTTACATCATTAAGTTTTCAAATTAAATCCCTAAATAAGGTCTTATAGCATTGCTCATCTTTTTAAGGAGTTGTGACTTGTGACTGCAAGAAGCATCAATGTTTAGAATGCAGTACAGGGTTAAACAGTTTGTTGAGGCTAACGTTGTTTAGTTACCTCTTCTTTTCTTCTATTTTCTTCCTTCTCTTTCTTTTTCCCACAACTAAAACTGAAACACTATCGTTATGTTTGGTACGTAATAATGTTTTTACAAGATAACGGAATCAATGTGAGGATGAAATGAAATGTTTATTACCAATCTAATGGTTAACAACAACTAGGATTAAGCGTTGAAATATATTTAAATGAATTAGTTGGCACCATTGAATGCAACTTTGGTTAGTAGTCGCTTTGATCAAAAGTCTCACCCTCTCCCTTCTCCAGTTGCCTTAGCAGGGACGGCCCAACAAATCTGGAGGTCCTAGGCAAAAATATGAAGGTGGGCCCTATTAACAACCTTAATACAATAATCTATATCTATAGTACAATAAAATGTCAACAAAAGTGAAAATTTTTTGTTTAACTATAATAACCTTAATACAATCACTAATGTCTATACTACCCTTTTTTCATTTAATATATATATTTGTGTGTGTGTATATATATTATTATATAAATATTGAAATGTCTTGATTCTTCGTATTCACACTTGAATAACAGTTGTGTATATTTATTGGCATAAAAAGTGAGTGCACCAGTAGCGATAGAAAATGAAAGGTTTTCTTTTGGTACATTTATTCAACTTTAATGCACTAAGGACCATTTTATTCAATGTGCATTGAATATATCATATGCTAAAACTTGAAAATAGACATTTCATCTTTTCATATTCACGTTATACACAAAACCATATACATTTAAACCCTACAGGTACCTATATTAAATATTCAACTAGCAAATATTAGTTGGAACTTCAATCGTTTTATATTTTCATCTCTTTGTCTTATTGATTCTCTTTTAAAAATCCTTATGGTCTAATATTTAGTAGACTTCTGCCCTCTCTCTTCCTCTCTCACCATCTGTTTTCTTCAAGGACCTGATTACCTTTTGTTTTACTTGTTATATTTTTTGATTGTTTATGTTTATTTAATTGAGTGACATCCTATTTTCCCAAGTGCTCCATTTGTCTCATGTTTTATTTTTTGTCTTTACTAATAGTTTATGTTTTTTAATCACTGAAGATTGCTAATATTTTGGGTTATAAGACTGTTTTATAATGTGTGATTTAATGGAGAAAGATATTAAAAAAGACAAGAAATCAAATGTCATTTGCCCACAGTGTGCTTCTAATCAATTTCATCTAGCATGAGTAGTTATATGCATTTGGATTTGTGTTTCTTCCTATCCGTATGAGCCATATCAATTCTTTGACACTGACAAACTTCCAACTGAACTAGAACTTCCACCCAATTAGGGTGACCTAATCAACCATGTTTTTTTACTTTTATTTTTTAATCATAGGATATATGATTCAAAAGTTTTTGAATTTGGAAACTTTAACATTTATACTAACGCAATTTTGTAACGAATTTGACCTAGATATCAAGGGATAAGAAAATTCTATACTACTGTTATTGGTCTAAATAAACTTATGTTACACCTTTCTTAGCCCGAAATTTCTACCATGAGGCGAGAGAAAAATGATAACAAAACAATTTAAAATCAAGCAATTTAGTTGTTGGTTAGCTGTTGTATAGTGTTTATTTATGAATACAAACCTTGTGTTTGTTATAGTAGCTTGTAAATCACAATTGAAAATAGTAGTTGTGCACCAATTATACTTGCCATTACATTTACAAAACCTTAATTTTCTTATAACAACGTTGTTGAGAATTTTTCAACTTGTTATTTTTCCACAATTTGTTCTCAATGTGGAGAGATGCATTCAAACCATTGATTAGGAATATTGTTTTACCATTCCTATACTGATTTGTAGATATTGAACAAAAGGAAGCCAAGGGACATGGACGTAGATATTAGAGACTCAATTCTCACATTTTTATCTTGCTTCGATAGAGTCAAATATTAATATTTCCATAACACAATTGTTCTATCAACTTATATGCAAAATTTATAGTATAACCATTGCTTGGTGTTTAGTTTAGATGACAAAAATCTACTTATGGTTGTTATATGTTTAGATAGAATTAACATTTATATGTGATGATAGTTTTTGTTTGATAAATGAAAATTTGAATTATAAGACAATATTAATCCATTAATCTAAATTGACCATCTAGGATCTATAAACATCTAGCATCTATAGACATATGAGATAAAATAAGTTACAATAAAGTTCGATGATTTGGTGAATAGCGAATAGTGAATAGTACACATTTTATTTGTCTTGTGTTTAATAACTTGCTATGAAGTGAAACACATCATTGGGTATTGTTCTCCATGTGAACAGTTCAAGGTCCTAACAATAAAGATTAATTTTGTTGGCAGCAAATTATGATTAAAAAAATGTGTCTATATGTTTTGATCATGTTTTCTCTATTCGTTTATGGAGAAACAGTGAATTGTCTAAAATTGTTATTTTTAGATTAATATTTAGCAATGTAAAATGTCAGATTGATACTGAAATAAGATTTTAAAATACTATCTTAATCATAACAAAAAGAGACAAGAAATTTCCCAGTAAAACTTTTGATGAATACCTACAAGAACACAAAGAAAAAATTGAAGGTTTATATGATTAAATAACACTTATATTGACAATTTTCATATTCAAAACAATTCACGTACAATATACGAATGCATCAACTAGTTATTAAAATATATTCATTTAAAAGTTATTTTTTTAGCCCTAAATATTCTGACCCTTGAATTTTGATCACTATCAATTAATTGATGGTTTGTTGAACTACAAGAGATTATAGAATAGAGAGCTTTGATGTTCTTTCTTTGTTCAGATTCAAACTTCACAGAGAGAGGGGCATGAAGGAGTGGCGTTAAATAGAACTATGGTCTGTGAGTAAGTGAATCCCGTAATTTTGGCGAGAGAGGCAAATTGATGTAGAGAGATTTGCTTAATTCCTTCACATACGAGAGAGAGAGATTATCCATGCTTGTTGTAGAAGTCTAACAATCCACTACAGTTGGTAAGTGGAGCAATTTTCTAAGTAAGTTGTTGAAGTGTTAATTGACTTATCAATAAAATTTGAGCCCTCTCAAATCAATCTATCTAAAATATATATACTCATAACTATAAGTCTTAATATGAGACCCCAAAATTTTACAAAAATTGGAAGCCCTAGACAGCCAACTAAGTGGCCTGGGCCTCTGCGTCTTAGAGAGAGATATATTACAACGCTGCAAATATAGTCTGCCTTTGATAACTCCACCTTTTATTTCTGAGGGAGAGAATACAAACTTCATACTGAAGTGAAATAGAAAGATTGCTCACAGAGATACTTTCTCTTTCTTGGTGGGCAGGCATACGTACATGCCGTTATTATTTAGGAGAATTATTATATTACTAATTTCTTTTTTCAAGGTCTAATTATCTTAGTTGAAGCTAAGTTGGTACTTAGGCTGCTTATTAGGGGAGAACAGGCCAAAATGTTTCTCAGACTCTGCCCCTCCCTTTAGGTTCTCATCAAACATGGCAAACAAGTAAGTTTCTATAGCCCTTCCTGGCCTCTTCGGAGTTCCTCCCTTCACATGGTTAATCAAATTTCTATAGTAAGTGCCTGCATTTTGTGGTGTAGCTGCAGTGCCACCCGCAGATGGCCAACCACTCTCTGACACGACGATATTCAAATTACCTCCACCTGCCTTCTCTAGAGCCGAATAAAAAGCATCTAATATCGCATCAAAAAGGTTCCGGTACCCGAATTCCCCATCTTGTACTACAACCCCTGGTGTAGTGAACAACGCATAGGGAAGCTGAATGTTTTGTGTGTTGCCAATGTAGCTGAAGTAGGGGTATATGTTGGCTAGTAGTGGGCCATTATTGTTAACTAAAATATGGATTATTGGGTCTATGAATGACCTAACATTGTCTCTGAATGAGCCTTGTGATGGAGGGTAGGAGTTGCCAAGGAGGGCCGGGAAGGTTGCCGTTGAGACCTTGATTTGGTTTTGCAATCCGGCTGCATTAAGGGTATTTTGGACATTTTGCATGGCGGGGCCGACGAACTGGGCAATCCGAGCCCATCCACCATTGGGGGGATTCACTTCATTCCCAACGGCAATGTATCGGATTTTAACGTTTGGAAAATAGTTCCGGACATTAATTTGAACCCATCGAGTGGCAGCTGAGGCATCGGATCCAAGGGATTGAACATCAGGATTAGGCACATCAAGGATGAGCTCTATGTTGGATCCTCTAAGGGCCTGGAGAGTTGCTTGGTTTGGGCCATAAAGTCTCATCCTTCCAATGCCATTGGCTTTGAAGAGTTGTACAACTTCCTGATCAGATGGTAAATTGTTGCCAAGTTGTCCATTGCAGACCCCTACAGATTGCGCACCTGCATTAGATTCAGCCAACATTTAAAGGCTTTTAGAGTAAACAAGATAAACTTAAGAACTATAATTGAACTGAACCTATCCCACTCAAGAGGACTTAAAACTGCAAAACATATTAATTAACATGGACTGACTGGAGGTTAATTCTCGGACTCAAACTTTTTTAATACATAACAAGAACAAGGCGATAAAAGCAAGAAATAACGGATTGATATCTCATCCATTATACTTTCACTCAATTTTACTAAATAGTAGACCATTTACTACGAATTTCAGTGGAGCCCAAAATTTATAAATGGACCTCTTATCTATACAGTAAGTGATTTACCATTAAGTAAAATTATGTGAAAATATAATGATGGGAATTTGGATCTGGACGTAAGGATATGACGAGTCATCATTTCAACCACTAGATTTGGGAGGGAGATTGCATTTTTTAATAACTGTAAATTGTGAAAGAAGACAGACTTATTGGGATCACTAGGGATGCTTGTGTTTGCAGCAAGAAAGCCTCTATACATATAGGTCTAGGAATGCTTCTTTCGTTTTACATTGCCATATAGACAATGGTCAAGCAAGCGCTTGGGAGAGAATAGATTCCTCAAAGAATCCGAGTTGTTTACCAAGATGATTTTCGAATGAAACATGAATGTTTTTTTAAGTGAGAATTCCTCATCTAAAATGATGTAGTTGGCATATGCTAAACTTTAATTATTTCTAGCTATAGATTTTGAGTTGATTTATTTGCCACCGTTAATCTTAAAAATAATAAAGTATAATAAAATTGTAAAATTAAAAAAATTACATATGTCACATTCTCACTAGATAGAAAAAGAGATACAGTGCTCAAAAGTTTTGTTGTCATTATCGACGAACCCCTCAGGTATACTACTTGTATTTCATATGATGTATGAGAATGCATGCAGATTTTTTTCCCAAAACTACAAGATTTTCAAACCTAATTCCTTTTTGACATTGATATCTGTTAGAGTATGTGTGACTCATATTTGTTGTGTGCATAATGGGAAGGAGGCAGATGCTGGAGCGGGCGGAGTGGAGCGCAGCGGAGCCCGCGACGGCATCTGCCTTGCGGGATTTATATAAAGGGGACGTTGATTAGTTGGGGTGCGGGGGCAACACTCCCGTGGTACGGTACATGGATATTTTTGTAAATATGTCCATATTAGGGTTATATAAATACTCAAGATGTAACCCTACTTCAATAATGGAAAAGAACGGCCGCTCGCTCTTGTGGATGTAGGCACATTGTCGAACCACGTAAATCTCTGTGTGTTATTTTCTCCTGCTTTCTTAATTATTTGATTCCTTACTATTCACCATAATTGCTGCACGATTACAACAATATCTATCTTATTTCTTAAAATACCTTTGTTTCTCTAAAAGTATGGTTTGAACCCTTGTTTTTTGAAGCTTTTTTTTATTGAAAGCGTGTTTTGTAAATGCACTTGTACACTGAACCTTAGGTTCAAACCATGCTTTTATAAAAACAGCAATAGTACAAAAGATATATATGTTTGAAAGGATAGTATTTATGAAGTTAGAAAATTGTCATAAATTTGATATTTGATTCTATGCATGCAGGCATGTGTCTGCAATGCATGGAGTGAGAAAGGAGGGAAGGATGAACCAGTTATGGGAATGCTAAGAAACAGGAGCCCAAGAAAAAACAATGCAGTGGCCATTGTAGGATTGTTGGTTTTTGCATAGAAAACAGCCATTGAGAATATAGATATAGCAACCTTACAATCTTCTTGTTCTTTATATAGAGGCTTGAATGTAGTACCCCAGAAATACCCAGTCAAGTACTCCATGAAAATTTTCTAACCCCAAAACGACGGCTAGAGAATTATGAAACTGAGGCAAATTGGATACAAGAATTTTCCAACTCTAATGATTTTTTTTTTTAACTCAAGTCTATTGATGAATGAAACAAGTTATTATTTTAAAAAGCACTTGTGTATTTTTCAGTGGCAATTTCTCAACTAGTGACAATTTCTGGCACATTTGCCAACAGTTTGATTGCCTATGTTTGAAAAGTCCTGGTTTGGTGCTGTGGACAATGGCAACATCGGATCACGACGTGTCATTAGTTGAACATGTTTGAGCTTGAATATTCTCATATTCGATTTGATCGTAACTAGTTAAATTTAAGTTTGATCTACGCGCTTATCTTCTTGCTCAATCTTGATTCTATGGAGACTTGCAAGTATTCAAACTAAAGCTGAACTCAATTTCTCATTTAAAAGTTTCAAAAACTAAGCCTAAAACATTATAATCAACCTTAAAAAAATAAATTTCAACAAGAATTCCCCAAAATCTATAAAATCAGCAGTATAATCAAAAACCCAGAAATTTAAATTTCCCAAATATTTATTAAAGAAAAAAAGTAAGAAAGAAATGCATAAAGTATGTACCCATTACAGAATAAGTTGGGACTGTTCACTTTCAAATAAAAATTATTCGGCAACAAAAGTAGGAGGATTCTCAACCATGATTATTTGTTTACGTGCACATTCAACTATGTAATTTGCTTCATATTGCACTAATCATTAACGTCCCTTTTAGATTTAATGAAAAATTATTTCACTTTGTCCCCCTGAGTTTTGCAAACTTTTTCGCTTTGCCCTCATACGTCGACAATTTTCATTCAAAAAAATAGCAGACTTGTGCATTTAGTTAGTTTGAAATAATTCAAGTAGTTGACAGAGTGATATGAAAAAATCAATAGTTTAATGGGTAAAGTGAAACCAAGTCCACAGTTAGGAGGGGTAAATAGAACTTATCCAAACTAGACCCACATATAAATCGAATTTTGAAACTTATTCAAGCCAAAACACGCATAGTAATTTCTTACCAAATTTTTTTGTCTCAAGTGATGTGACACAGTTTTTATTATCAAATAAATAAGTTTAATTAATATTCAATAATAAAGATTGTGCCACATCACTTGAGGTGAAAATTTTGATAAAAAACTTGATAAACATAACATTGCTGATTGTTTTAACATTCCCATTATTGAGTTTTGAAATTTTCAATTTTTTTATCCTTTTGTTTGCTTTTATATTTTTTGAGTTATTATTGAGTTGTTTGGTCCCAAATAAGGAAGGAAATAAATTATTATTTCAATGATTACAATGCATTAAATTGCAAATTATTTATCTAAATTAAATCCAAATAGTATTTCCTGTAGGACCAAGATCGCCTCCAATATTTTTTATCCTTTATTTTTTTTCTTGAAAAATTATTTATCTTTAATAAATGATGGACCCACTTATACATGTCTAACCCGAATCCATGTTACTGATCCACCAAAAAATATATAAAAAAATGTATTTGAAAGAGTGCCAAATATACTGTCCTATCAATTATATATTGTACCACTTTTGGTTGGCCTAAGCTTTGAATCCTTAGCTTGGTCCCAGCATTCTCTCTCTCTCTCTCTCTCTCTTACACACACAGAGTTGAGATTCTTGAGAAGACTAGCCTGCCTTCTCTAGTCTACTGGGCTAAGACCAGCTGTGGTTGTGTTCTTCCATTCCATCTCAACCAAATCCACATACATTGACTTGTGCACTAGCCTCACAAGTGCGTGTAATTAATAAAACATTGAACTGGCAGGCATAACCCTTGACCACAAGCCAATAATATGGAATGTATGGGTTGTGGAGAAACCACTTCAATGTTGGAACATGAGTTGTCATGGCCATGGGGACTATGGCCCCTCCATGATTTTGAAATTTTCTTGCTTTTTATCCTCTTTTTTTTTATAATTTTCAAAGATAATTTTCAACACCGCCCATTAATAAGACTTAAACTTGTATAAAAATTAACGAGTTAAGGTTGAATGTTCTCATCACGATCTCAAAAATAACATATTTACTAGTGTGAATAATAAATGAATTTAGTCAAAAAATATGATTTTAATTAAATTAAAATTTGATAATATAATTATTAATAAAAGGTAAATAATGTTTTTATGATAGAGAAAAAACTAAAGCAAAATATAACATTAGTAAATTTTCAAAAGTAGGATTTAGCTGTCGTAATCCAAATGTCATAAGACCAACTTTTGCGATGGTAAATACCTTGACTTCTACGAGAGTTTGGCCATTAGTCGGTTACATCAAATGCTAATATTATGGTAATGTTAGACTAATGAAACAAAAATAGAACTAAATGACATGTTGCAAATTTATCAACCTTGACTAAGGAAAATTTTAATATGACTAAATTTCATTTTGATTTCAAAATTAATTTCGTATTAAACTTTGAAACTCATTTTAACTTAAAATTTTGAGGCTCGATTATATTTCAAATAAATTTCACTTCTGTAAAAACGCTTTACTTGACCTTATTGTTGTACCGAGTGCTTATGGTACATTTAGTAGCTTTGAGTTCCGTTTTCCGGGCCCTTGACGCAGTTGGCGATTTCATTGTAGTGGCCTAGGTTGGTGTCCTGTTTGCTCTGATGCCACTTTCGTTTGTTGGTTGATGTTGCAGAGTTTTTGATGAAACTCGAACCTTGCACTTGTAAACAAGGTGAAAAAGATAACTATCACTGGATCGGTCCTCTTTTGCAATGTGTAACTTGAGTTTTAATAATAGTATTTTTTGGTACAATAGCCAAGAAAAAAAAATTGGCACAGTAGTCTTTTACTCCAATGTGACTTTATTTTGAATTTCCAAAGCATCACTAATCAGGCTTCTTCCAGATGTGTTTCCTAGTCAAACCAGAAGCTTTTGGACGTTAAAATTCAATGTATCTGCAAAGGGGAAATGAATGGACTGAATGGGAAATGAATATGTGGTTAACTTGAAACTGTAGGGGGATTTTTCAATCTTTTGGGAGTAATCGTCCACTCCTCCTCCACCCCCAAGATTAGGGAGTACAGTCAGAATTTTCGTAGAAGGGAACAATTCGGTGGCATGTCTTTGATTAGACCGGAAAAGAGATTAATTGAATAACACGTAAGTTAGCCTGAACACCCTGATCACAATACCAAAAACAAATGCAGTCCTAGTGTTGGACAACTTCATAAACTAGCATAACTTTGGTTTGGTTTAATGCTTTAGTTTATAGCATAGTTATCTGCATGAATTTGCCCGTGCACATGCAGTTGTATATCAAACTTCACATACATCAATGAATGAGAATAATACTAAGTTAATCTTTTATTTATGTAGGACAGAATACAAACTTCATATTGAACTGAAATTATAAGAATGGTCACACAGATACTTTCTCTTTCTTGGTGGGCAGATAAAAGTACAAACCATTTTTATTTAGGAAGAGTATCATAAATTACCAGTTTATTTTCGAACGTTCAATTTTCTTAGTTGAAGCTAAGTTGGTACTTAGGCTGCTTATTAGGGGAGAACAGGCCAAAATGTTTCTCAGACTCTGCCCCTCCCTTTTGGTTCTCATCAAACATGGCAAACAAGTAAGTTTCTATAGCCCTTCCTGGCCTCTTCGGAGTTCCTCCCTTCACATGGTTAATCAAATTCCGATAGTAAGTGCCTGCATTTTGTGGTGTAGCTGCAGTGCCACCCGCAGATGGCCAACCACTCTCTGACACGAC